CGGGCCCAGCCGCTCTGCGGCATGTGGGATCTTCCCGGACCGGGGCACAAACCCGTGTCCCCTGCATCAGCAGGCGGACTCTCAACCTCTGCGCCACCAGGGAAGCCCCCAACTTCTCTTCTAATACCTTCTTCCCTTTATCTTGGGCATTAAGAGCAAAACTCACGTTTTTACATACCTTTACAGTTTATCAAGTGCTTCCGTATATATCACCTTATTTAATCCTTCCTATCATACCAAGATGTAGATGTTACTTTCCATTTTTCAGATTAGTGGAATGAGGTTCAGAGAATTAAAAACAAAAAACAAAAACTAGCAAAAGACCCCCCAAAACAAAACAAACTAGTCCTGGTAACACAGCAATCAAGTTCTGGAAGGCAGGTCCGGTGAGCACCCTCTCATTCTCTTTTGCCCAACCATTTGCGCTTGCCTCCCTGAAATCTGCTAGCTTCCTCTTTCCTTTTAGTGCACCTTAGATTAAGTTCTGTCTCAGCAATCTCTCTCATGTCAGATCTTCAATCTTCTCACACGTCATTCTCCATCCTACATCCTCTTTCCCCTGGGCACTCTCCACACTCTCCAGCTAACCTCCCATAACCTTGATCCCAAGCACACCCTCTCCCAGCTCTGCCTGGTACCCTTGTTGTGGGCCGCCTGTCTCCACAGCAGCTGGGCAATAGAACTCGTCCACTTGAGTTTGATCTCTGGTGAGGCTGCTTGCAGGGTGTACGCCTCTCGTGCACGCCGCCGCCGAAACCACAGCTCAAAGCAGAGCCCAGTGTCCCCGATGTTTTCTGTTAGCCCCATGTCAGCAGTCTGAGCAAAAGCAGAGGAGAGTGAGTGAAGATGGAGTGCATTCTGGCTATAGACGGCACCACGTGGAAAAGCACTGCACTTAGCCTGGCATCTGGTAGATGCTTAGTAAATGTTTGCTCAACACCTACGGTGTGCCAAGTGCTCTGCATTTAGTCTTTATAACAAGCACGGTTTACAGAAGGGTGGTGCCCAGACACACAAAGCAACTTGTCCAAGGGCTTATCATAGCTTATCGGAGAAAGAGTTCAAACTCATGGCTCTGTTATTCCACACTTAGGCTTTTTTCTCTATACTGGACTCTGCTGGAACTAGTGTATGGGGACAAAGTCAGAAACGCTTTAAGTCATGCCACACCGCCTGATCTGGGACTAGGCCGCTATTGATGTTTATCTGGATATCAAGGCTGTTTCCCTAAAGCAAGGCCTCCCTCTTGGGTTCTTCAGTTCTGTCAAGTTAAGCTGTATTTATAGTGTCCTTTCTCTTCCTCCCCCAGGGACCATCCCTAACTCAGAAAGCATGTGTGTTCTTAATGGGAAAGGTCCTCCCCGCTTCTGGTTTGGAATGCCTCATGAATCCCCTGCATGAATAAGGAGAACCCCATGGAGTAGACCAATGACAGGGACTTCTGTCACCTCGACACCCTAACCTGATGTTTGATTACAGGCCAAAGCCTGTTCTAGATGATATAGATTCTGAGCCTGGGTAGGGATTGAATTTCCAGAACATCCTGCGTTCCCAAGAAGAGCATGACTTCCTGTCCCATCCCCATGGTTTCCCACCCCCACCCCACCCCCAGGCATTGTACCTTAAAGGCCTGCTTATAAACAAAGGTCTCTGACCCCCCCTCAGGGCCCTTGAGCTTGCTGAATAGGAGGAGATGCTCAAAGAGAAAGACGTGGCGAAGGCACTTTTTCCGGCCACAGATGACTGTGAAAGGGTCCCGGTGCAGGAGTTGTCCCTGCTCCTTCAGATCTATCTGGGGAAAGCAAAAGGAAAGGTCATTGGCCCTGGAGCCCTTTGTGTATATTTTATGGGGAGTAAAAGTGGGATTTATAGGGCCAGGGGCCGAATGCAGTGGTTCTCAGGCAGAGTCAGGAAATCAGGGGAGCCCATGGCCTAGAATCCATCCACCGGTCACCATGCACAGCATACCTGGCCCAGCAGCACAGCCCTGCCTCTGAAGATAGAAGGTACATCACACAGTAGGGTTTATAGCCTCCAGTGGGTAAGCCTTTGCATGTTGGGGACCAAAGCACCATTTTGCCCCAGGAAGAGAATCAAATCAGCAAAGAACTGAAGGGAAGAGGTCTATCCTAGAGGAGGCAGGTTTCCAACCTGTTCTGGAACCTCAGGACTGGTAAGAGACTAAGGAGAGGAGAATAAGGTATATGTTGAATGTTGAGATACAGGATGAAGCGCAGGGTAGATAGAGATAAGAATTAGGAAAGGAGTAGGAAAGCACAGGCAGATACAGGGTCACAGGATGTCGGGCAGGACATAGCTTCTTTATTTATAGATGAGGAAATTGAGCCCCAGTGAAGTTCAGTGACTTGACCAAAGCTATCCAGCTGGTTAGAAATTACAGCCTGGAGCCCTCTGACCTTGAGTCTAGTTTTCTGGTCACCAGCCCACACTGCTTCTGAGGCTACAAGGCTGAGCAGCCTGAGCTGGAGTGTCTGGAGCCACGGCCTCACCTCACAGCCACGCACCGCCTCCACAGCCAGCAGGTCTTTGCCGCGGGTCTCTTGTTCTCGGAGCAGTTGCATGGCAGCCCCAAGGGCCTGGCGCTCAGAACTTGGTTCAGGCCCAGCTTCCCTTAGGAGCTCCTCCAGGAGCCGCCCATACCTGGCCAGCTGCTCCAGCGGCTGCTGCAGGGCCCGGGGCAGATGAGGGCCCCCCTCCATGGTGCCCTAGTTTGGGGTGGAAACAGATAGGAATGAGGGGAGGGGCTGGAGCTGTTCGGGTCTGAGCCCTTCGGGGAAGATGCGTGGTACTCTGGGTTTTTAGGGGTAGGTCAAGCCCAGATACACCCAAAGGTAAGGCGAAAAACCTTCCCCCAGAAAGAAAGGAAGCAGGAGGGCTGCAGGAGATTCAGCTGTCCTCTATATCTTGAGGGAGAGTGGAAGAGGAATACAAGTAATCCCTTATATTCTCTGGCTTTTAACTTTTGAAATCACTTTCACATCTTTTGATGTGAGGCCTTTTGACCCTCAGAGCACTCTCTTAGTTCGCTATAGTGAATACTGGCCCCATTCACTAGATGAAGAAACAGCGGCCCAGAGGAATCAACACTACTGCCCGAAGTCCTCAGGCGGGCTGGATAAGAGCCCGGGTTCACCTGGCTTCCAGTCCAGTGCTTGTCCCACCCTCAGCAATTCTGGGAGATTATTGGTAGGTGACGTTCCTGGGTATATCCAGGAAAGCTTTTTTTCCCTGAGAGATTTTGAGGTTGGGTGGATTTTAGGTCTTCCTTGCCCCTCCCCTTCTCATGAGGGTTGGAGAAAAAGTTACCTTGGTTGGGGGGCTGAGGGCAGCCAGACCATTCTCCAGTTTGTGCCGGTGCTTCACATACTGGGCGTAAAGGCTGAACTGGTCCCCCTGTGCCGGTAGGGAAGCGGTAAGTCATCTCCAGTGAGGCCCTGCAGACAAGCCTCTCCCTTTCCTCCTCCACATCCTGTAGAGCCCGAAGGAGGGACAGGCCACCAGGGAACCCTCAGTCTGCCTGGGGAATGACAGGCTCCCGTGGAGAGAGCAAAGGCCAGGCAGCACTGGACGTCAGGAACACATGAGCTGAGTGGATCCAGGAGCCCAGCAAATGGCAGTAGGCGCCGGCGTTTGGGGCCACACGTTCTGGTGGTGGGTGGGGTCGGGGGGCGGATACTGAGAAGGAGGGACAAGCAGATGGGGCTGAGACATGTGAAGGGAGAAGCCCTGGAAGGAGTTTCAGAGGCTGACTCACATGGCGAAGGAAGCAGGCCCCAATGCGCAGGGGGTGGGTGGCGCAGCCCTGAAGCTCCCGCAGAAAGTGTGTCCGGTGGAAACTGCGGAGCCTCTCCCGGGCACTCAGGGCCGCGGCCCAGGTGCCCCGCAGTTCAGGGGTCAGCTCAGGCCCCGCGGGTGGCACTGGCTCACTCAAGGTGGCCACGTACTCCTGCTCACAGGCAATCAGCTCAGACACCAGATGCTGCTGGGCACTGCAGGTACAATGAGGATTGACAGGGGAGGTTGTGGCATGGGAGGAACATGCCAACAGTATCATATTCCTTTCCTACGGGCCAGCTGGGCCTGCCTCTTGGGCACCAGCTGGGCTGGGCTCTCACCTGATGCTTCGCTTGCGCTCCATCCGGGGGGTGCCTACTCCCCAGGGCCCTTCTGGGCCCCCGGCCCGGCCCAGCAGCACGTGTTCCCGGGGTGAGCACGTCCTGTCTACCACCTCCGTACTGGTGACCTCCAGGCCTCGGATCAGCACGGTCCTCGGCGGTCTGCCCTCTGCTTCCGGAGCCAGCTCGGGGCCCTCGTCTTCATAGTCCTCCCCACAGGGCGCCAGGGAGCAGTGGGACGGGGCTGCCCGCGGCCCGGGACTGCTGGGGAGCAGCAGGGAACGGAGGCTGGGTGAGGGGCTGTGGGAGCCCCGCTGGGCCCCTCCACTGCTGGCACTGTCTGCCCGTCGTCGCCGGTGGCCCCGTGGACTCGCCTCCGCTCCCAGCTGTTGCTGAACCCTCTTCTCCAGCTCTTGGCAGCGGGCCCGGCAGCGGCCCCACTCTCGCAGAGCCGCCGGGCTGCCCAGGTCCAGGGCCAGGGCCCGCATCTCCTGGAAGGTGCCAGCGCTGGGCTCCGGGGTGCACCGCAGGGCCAGGGCTGCCAGCACTGCTTCCCGCCCCGGCCCAGCTCCTGCTAGCCTCGTGGAACCTTCGTCCACCCATTCATGTGCCTACAAGACCAAAGGGTGGGGAGTGGCGAGGGGAAGGAGTGAGGTCCTGTGCCACTCCCACACACTGCCCGATGACAGCTCCTGTCCTCCTTCGCTGATGGCTTCCCAAGGCCCACCACACCCCAGTCCTCTTAGAACACCTCCCCTCACTGTCCCGGCACCACGGCCTAGCATGTCATCCTGAGCCGGTATGGAGACAGAGGGGCCTAGACGGAAGGATGGCCGATACTTACACAGAATTTACAAGTGGCAGACTCTGTACCAAGTACCTGTTACATACTGCTTACGAAATCCTCACTCAGCCCTGTAAGGTAGGTGCCACGAGGCACACTCAGGTTTAGTATCCTGTCCCAAGTCATTCATCAAGTAGGCGGCAGAGCCAAGAGTCAAAGCCCAGGAGACGGCCTCCTAAGTCCCTGCTTCTAACAACTACCCGATCAGCTTCTCCAGGCAGAAGAAAGGCAGTGGTGGGCATAGAAGGAAGAGGCTCAGCACATACCTGCTGGAAGAAGCGCTGTAGCCGCAGAGCCCGGTGGAGGCCACTCTCAACCTGCTCCAGGCGCTGTTCAAAAATATCCAGAACCTTCTGGGAGGCAGGGTCCTCCTCCAGGGCCAGAGCCTCCCTCGCCTGAGCCAGGCGCTCCTGGAGAAGGGAGGCTGCTCTCAGACCTGGCCCTCAGTCCAGTCAGTCTCCCCTTCCCTCCCCGCGTGTTTCCTCTCACCTGCCCCTCTCCCCCTTCTCACCTGAACCTCAGCACTGAAAGCCCGGAATCGTAGCTCTGTCTCCTGCAGGGCAGACAGGGAGTCCCCGGGCACAGCAAAGCTCACCAGCTGCTCCTCCCCCGGGCCCGAGAGCCACTGCAGCACCTGGGGCAGACAGGGTGGGAGAGCGGGGCCATGAGGAAGAAGGGGCCGTGCAGTGGAAAGGAAAGCTGAGATCCAGCTCTGACCCCACCGCCCCGCCCTGTAGAACCTTGGGGGAAACCAATACATCTCAGCTGTAAAGTGGAAATGATAACAGGGAATGGTGGTAGTTTCCACAAGGCTCAAGTAAAGTGAGTAAGCCATCTTTGTAAAGCACCAGTTGAAGGGGAGGCTGGGCTGGCAGGAAGCACTGAGAGATGCATGCTAGGGTTCCAGGGCTATGCCTCCAGGTGAAATAGATAAAACTGGAGTGAGCCAGAGGCACAGGGCCAGGAGAAATTTCACATTCATAGAGCCTAGTGACAGGGACCAGGCTTGGAGAGACACCCCAGGCGTGTGTGTGTGTGTGTGTGTGTGTGTGTGTGTGTGTGTGTGTGTGTGTGTGTAGCTCCAGTTGCCTATTATGGGGCTCTAGGTACTCTCGTGTTGGTTCTGGGATATCTGACCAAAAAGGGATGGTAATTCTTTCCTCTGAAGAAAGGTTGGAATCTGAGGCGAGACAGCCTGAGGACGGGAAGTTTGAGAATGTTCCCAATAACCGGTGCCAACAATAAACATTTCTACAGTCCTTTACTGAAATCATTTGATCACCCGAACACCCTTGTGAGGTAAGCCTTACTGTCACCCCCATTCTGCAGATGAGGACTTGGGAACTCAGAGATGCTTCCAGACTCGTCCAATATCTCACTCCTAGCAGAGAACTCAAGCTGAACACTTTAGACTCCAAATCCTGTGTGCTAATAGTTTTTACACAGGAGGAAAACAGCTAATAAGCAAACAAACAGTAGGAGATACAAACCTTTGGATGCTGGGATGGAGGAAGCTAAATATGCAGAAATCTCAGGAACAGAGAGCCCTGCCCCCACCCTGCTTTAACACTGACCCTGAGATGACCTTTCCCCTGAGGCCACATGCAGGTCCATGAGGTGTTCACTTACCACACTTAGGAGCTATGGAGGAGCAATCAGATTTCAGTGCCCCTGCTACCCCACAAGGTAGGGTGGAGAGCAAATCCCTATGGAGTTCTTAACCCCAGGAGAACAGAATCAAGGCTCAGAGAAGCCAGCTTTATTCCTGAATCTTTCCCACAAAGAGGCCTTGGTTTCCAAGGACTTTAGCAGTTTCCATTATCCTCTCCTTCTAAGGTGGAGGGAGGTGTGACCTTTCCGTCCTCAGGTTTGGGCATGGCATTGCATAAGGGGTGGAGGGAGCTGGTATCAACAGACATTTGTTGCTTTTAAGCTAAGGAGGTAGGAACTCAGAATCAATCAGCTCTTCCCAGAATCCCCTAGGGCACCTAAGCATCTCTCACAATCTCTAAGGATCCTTGATCAAACATTAGCAGTGGGAGGGGGAGATGTGGCTTCTCTTCTTTTTGGGCGCTGAGATGCTATCTCCCTCTTGTTGAATCTCACACTGACCGTGATCAACTTCCAAGGGAGATGAGGAGAGAGGGAGGGCCGTGCGGCCAAGCCAGGTTAGGAGAACACCATCAACTGTAAGTATCAGTGGGAAAAGGGTGCTGGAGGCCAGGCCCCCAGGTGGAGTTAAGAAGCATGGGGGAGGAGGTCCTGGCTCACCTGCTGGAGTCGGTGCAAGCGTTGCCGCTGCTCCTGCTGTTGCACATGTAGGTTGGAAAGGCGCACGAGCTGATGAATGGCTTCGTCCACCTCCTGATACAGTGTAGCTGGGCCTGGGCCCTCCAGCCTGGGTAGCGGGGGGGTGGGCAGAATGAACCACTGCCTTTGTCAAGCCTGCCCCGCAACCCCATCCCATCCTTGCGTCCCAAGTGAGGGGTGGCACAGCATCCTGGGTCACAGTATGGGCCTGGATCTGAATCCTTACTCTTCCATTTACTGACCAACCTTGGCCAAGACATTAAACATTTCTGATCCTCCAAATCCCCATTGATAATCATAACTAGCACCTAGGGATGTTGTGAGAGTTATGACATAAGTGGAGAAGCATATCTTGTCCAGATACATGGTTAGTAAGAATTATCTGGCAGCTAAGGTGAATTGGCGGCCCTCTGCTGTGTCTCCATCCTCCACGTCCACCTGCACCCACACACCCATCCCTCGTACTTGCTGCTGTGGGTGGAGCGCAGCCTCATCAGGATGGCTCCCCCATCCCTCTGCAGCTCCGTCAGCCGGGGATCTGCCAGTACCTTCTGTAGGGGCTCAGGCATTC